CCTCGTGGTACTGGGTTTAACCTCTCGGTGACTGGTGTGGCCAGTGAGTCATACTCCCGAGGAGGCCCTGACTTCTTGTCTGGCTGGTGGTTGCTGCCACAGTGAGGACATTGATCCTGCGATAAAACCTTTTGTGCAGTCTGTATTTATGATCTTTTCTCAAGTAAAATCCTTAGCAAGGCCCTGCTGCAGGTGTGATATGTAATCAGGGGGAAGCCAAGCAGTGTTTGTGAAAACTGATTTACTCTTCATAGCTTGATTGGCAGCAAACCAAAGGGAAAACTAAAGATTTCCTAACAGTCTTATTCACCTGAAATTGAGTGTGCAGAGACACAGCAAGTATTTGGTCTCTTTTATCATCCACCCTGCTGTGTGCTACAGAGCTTTGTCTTCCAAGCAGTCTTCTGTCAAAATATCACAGAACCACTCCATTTTCAGTTAAAGAAAGATGTCTTTGTCTCTTCTGTTGGCTTTTACAGCAACAGATGGATTTTAAAGTCATCAGTACAAGCAGACATTGAGCAATGTGCCCTTTGCTGGTTGCTCAAAGTGGTTCTGTTAGTGTAGGGACTGTTCTGTCATTATGGTGAAGTCAGGAGGGGCTGTAAAAACTGCTAGTAGGAAGTGTAAAAACAGAGTCATTGCAGTTGGTGACTAGCCCAAAGCTGAGACCATTTGTAATATTTTATGTGTGCTGATGCAGAACTGCATTGGGGCAATGCAGGGGAGGGCCAAGGCCACATAGGAACTAGTAGAAAGCAGCTGCAAGTACAGGGTACATACAGAGAGATGCTGCTTAGACAGTTGCTGGAAGAGCCCTGGTAATCTTGTCATGTCACTGTCACCAGAGGATTGGTTTTGTCATATTTCTAACGTACAAATATATGGAATATATTTTATAACTAGGAAAAATGCAGCATAAGTCACAGTTACTGAACATCTTGCTGTGGGTGTCGTTTGCGTGAGTGAGGAAGAGTTGTTATGGATGGGTTTGATTTGGTGCTGAACTGTAGGCTCTCTTCTTGCCTCTTGAATTTGAACATTTTTTCCTAAAATGGCTGTATTTCACATGGGATGTTATTTGTCAAAAACTTTCCTGGGATTCCTATTTGCTCTGCAGACATGTGTTCTTTTCTTTTTCAGTGACGGTGAGCAATCCTGTGGAGAAAGGTGAGTGTGTTCAGTTTTCTGTTTGGCACTCAGTCCTTGTGTGAAAGGGTTCACAAATGTTCCAGCTGAAATAGCAAAAATATCTCCCGTCAATTTTTTAATATACATCCTCTTTCAGAGTTTCCTTCCTGTAATTCCACAGTCCAGAGGTACACAGCAAGTGCTGTTAGATGTGCTGTAACTTTTGGATGCCCCTGTTTGGTCACATTGTAAGCAGAACATGGGAAGGCTTTGATCCCTCTGACTCTTTTAGAAGAGCTGTGCATGTCTGTCTGTGCACACCCACACACCTCTTCTCCCTTTCTCTTTCACATTTTCAGACATGATTTTACAAACAGAAAAGACTTGTTCTGTGCTGTGGCCCAGCTATTTTCTTTCACTGTTTTGTTTGATCTTTCAGTGAAAGCTATTTTTAACATGTTTTGTAGGCAGGCAAAGATTTCTCACTTGGCTCTGTTGCCCACTAACCATATCCTGATTCCTAACACAGTAGGATCACTTGATGGGACTCTGCACTGGTGTGTTGTTGTGGAGGCCTGTCAGTGGCCACTGTAGCATTCCTCCTCTTCTTTCTAGGAGGTGTTTTCGAGGCTTTTGGCTAATCCAAGTGGCCTCTTGCCTTTGTTTCTTCTTTGGGGTTATGAAGGATAAAAGTAGGTACAGTAATTTTTGACTGATTAGTTGTTCCATGAAGAGCAATGCCAGCTGCTGCTTTAAAGATCCTCCAGATCAAGTAAATTCTCTTTCCTCTATAGAGCAGTCCTAACATTTGAAACTGCTACAGGATATTCATGATTATTCAGTAGAAAAGGGTTAGTAGGTGCTTAATCCATTAGTGTATCACCAGGTCAGCTTCCTCTAAGCTGCTGCTGTGCTGCTTGATCAACAAAATAAAACCTGTTGGAAGATTTCTCTGGTTACATGTTAATTAAAAAATGGCTTAGCTCCACCTGCACGTAGTGTAAGGATGCCATCTCAAGCACAGGAGTGACTTATCTTTGATTCCCATCTCCTTCACACAGTCCATCTCATCTATCCCTGGGAGGTGAGTCCCAGCATTTGCCAGCTCATTAGAAAGTCTCAGTGGTGTGTTTGGCCTTTTTTACCGATTTTCACACAGGAAAGGAAGTATTTTCACCCAACTAGGAAGTGTTTGGATTTTAGACTTCTCTTTCCACTACTAGTAGTTAACTTCAATCTTAGTTTCTAGGATTTGAAGCTTAAATTAAATAGGTAAAATAAGGGTGTTATTGCAGTTAAATGTGTGTTTAAATAAAGCTGTCTTATGACTGTTTGATAATGGCGTAGAGTGTTAAAGAAACTAGTTTGTGTAGCTGAAGGACATCTGTCCTTCGGCTGTCTGACCAGGAATGTCTGCTTCTCCTTATGCCCAAAGGCCCCAGAATAAAGTTTGCCTGTTGAAATAAGACTACTCATGCTGGTATCATGTGATAGCACAGTATCTGGTGGTTTACAGTTCTTCTTCAGTAATCACAAGACCTGTTTTGCTCAATTTGTGGGACGTTTTCCTGATTTGTTTTATTGTATCAACTGTGGCAAATGTAAAAGATGTTTAATAAGAGAGATTACTTTTTTTCTGGTGCTGTGAAGCTCGTGTTGTTTCTCTCAACTCTCACAAGTGGTGAAGAACTCTGTGCCTGAGTGGGCAGGGCACCAACAATCGATTCTGTGATTCTAACTGCATTTAGTAGCAACTGAACCCCAAAACTGAGAGATGCTGAGTTCAACACCAGCCAGTTCTGCTGGGCCTGTGCTTAGGATGTGGGGAGGAGACAGGAATCCTGTCATTCCTAGTGATATGGGGCTGTCACCTGTTTTGTGAATGAAGCCTCTGCTAGCTGTGTTCTTCCTCACCCGTGGGATCAGGTGGAGAAGGGGAGGCTTGTGACACAGGTCACCCTTAACTGCAGCCACAGAGCTCTGGAATTCTGCAGAAAGGGTTAGCTGTACTGTAACACTGGGTGGTACTGGACATCTGGATTCTTCCTTTTTTTGATACTGTTGTGAAAAATTGGAATTATACCCATCATGAATGAAACTTTTGCTTAAGAAGTCATTGCTCTGTTTCTGTTTTTTCTGTTTTTTCTGTTTTCTTTTTAGTGGCCTATCTTGTAATATTCCATATTCTCTTTGTGCTCTTTGTGTGGACATATTGGAAGTCTGTTTTTACTCTCCCAATGCAGCCAGGCAAAAAGGTAAGAGCCCAAGCACTCTTCATTCCTTGCAGAATGAAAGCAGGGAAGCTAAGGAGAACTCAAAAATCCTTCATTCTGGTTGATTTGGGCAGGACAGTCAGAGGCAGATGTGTTTCAGTTCTTTTCCTACCAAATATTTACTTTGTCATGTTGCTTGGATTGGGAGATTTTATTTTTTTCATTTTGTTTTACCTGTCTATGAAATATTAATACAACACTATGTTTGGAGCAACAGAAAGAGGATGATCTTTGTGTGGCACTCCAAATATACATGGCCTTAATCTGATCCTGCTACAAGAATGTAAATTTATAAATAACAACTAATCCCAGTTTTAGAAATACAAAACTGACTGGAGACAGGTTCTGGCTCACAAGGGAAGTGCTTAAAATGTCCTTATCATGGTAAGTAATGTTGTTCATGAAAAATAGTCATTTAAGGCAGCAGTAGGAGTAATTCTAGTTAAGTTGTTTTATGATCCTGAATTTCACTTTTGTGTTTCTTCTTGATGTATCTATCACATAGCACTCTGGCTGTCCAGCACTCACTATCTCTCTTTGTCTTCTTAGCAAACACATTTCCACACTACATTAATCTCAGGAGCAGGAGTGGGAGGCAAAAATGTTTCCAAACTTGCCTGCATTTGAAATATTGTCTCTGCTGCTGTGGGTAACTGCTCCTCTCATGCCTTCTGCTTCCAGTTCCACATGTCCTACGCTGACCAGGAACGCTATGAAAATGAAGAGAGGCCAGAGGTGCAGAGACAGATTCTTGCTGAAATTGCCAGGAAGCTGCCGGTGTACACAAGAACAGGGAATGGAGGTCAGCTCAGCAGGGAGCTCTGTGTCTCTAAACCTACCCAAGCGTGCTCGAGTAGCACACACAGGCACTCCAGAGGATCCAACCAGCATTCCTAATACCACTGAAAGCACCCAGTAACTCCCGTGTAAATTAGTTTAATGTCTTTTCCCTCAGGTTTTACATTTGGGAAAGCAAAAAAGCCTTGAACCCTCCCATTCTGTGGAGTATCAAGTGCTGCCTTTGAGAAGCAGGATGCTGCCCTTTGGATTTACAATTGCACTGCTCACTGATGTTGTCTGTGCTTAGTAATAGCAATAGAATGACAAAATCTGTCATTGTTCTTACTCAAAATGGAGTCAGGCTTATCAATACAGGGCATAATGCTGTGACCAGATTTCTGGACTGTGTTCGGTGATTAAATGCCTACTGCCCTCCTTTCACAGCTTAAAGAAATTCATGTTCGTGTTGGAGGCTCTGACCTGCATGTTTCTGTCAGATGAGCGAAAGGATTCTGGAGCAAAGAACTGGAATAAATAGGGAATTCTCAAAATGCAGTGTATGTACAGTCTGGGTAAATGTGGCAGCCAGAGGGAAGTGTAGAATTTTGGTTTGTCACTTTTAAGCTGGATTTATGGTTTAGAGTAGGTTTAGATTAGATGTTAGGAAGAAATTCTTCCCTGTGAGGGTGGTGAGGCTCTGGCACAGGTTGCCCAGAGAAGCTGTGGCTGCCCCATCCCTGGCCAAGTTGAATATTCACAGCCAAGTTGAATGGGGCTTAGAGCAACCTGGTCTGGTGGGAAGTGTCCCTGCCCATGGCAGGGGTGTAGAACAAGAGGATCTTTAATGTTCCTTCCAGCCCAAACCTGTGATTCTAGGATTCTATGCTTTCAGTGAGAAGTGTTCTGACATCTGCAAGTTTCTGGCAGAATTAAGAGCATTGCTTACCTGATTGTGTCCTGGCAGCAAAAATCAGCTGCAAACACTGCTGAAGTGACAGAGCAAAGAATATGGATAGTTGGGAAATGGGCACAATATCAACTAAAATGTGAAAAAAAGAGCACATTTCCATTTTTTGGTATTAATTTGTGTTTACTTTCAGGTATTCGCTTCTGTGACAGATGTCAGCTCATCAAACCTGATCGTTGTCACCATTGCTCTGTGTGTGCTATGTAAGTTGTGGATTGTTCTTCACCAAAGTGAATGTAGTCACCACAAGGTTCTGGGAATGGGCTGGTCCTTCACTTGCCTTTTCACACCTAAAGGTACCCAAGTGCCTCTGTTCAGGCTGTTCATGTGTGACAGCATTTGTATTTCAGCTGTTTGTGGCTCTGAGGTCCTGAAGTGTTAGCAGTTCCCACACCAACAAGTGTATCATCATTCTAGAAAGTATGTCTTCCAGTGGGAATGAACTGATTGGCCTAGGCAGCTTAAAATAAAGGATGATTTGGGCTTAGTTTATTACTATTTTTTCAGATTGCATTTTTTGGGGTAATATTCCAGGCCTTTACCTGAAGCGTTTTGCAAAAATTTTAAGTTTTCTAGGACAGAAATCATTTTCCATGTCTGTCTAGCTGAGAACTAAGGACGTGAGTTGGTCTTGAAAAAGTAATAAATTATACCCATCTTAAAAATTTCAAAGGGACAGTATCATCTGGAGCTTGCATCATGTAGAAATCTCATAGAAACCAGAGCCTTTTGCTATTGATATGAAGCTGGCAATGAAGTAATTAGTAAAACTCTTCAATTGTTCTTTTTTATCCCTTTGCAGATGTGTGCTAAAAATGGATCACCACTGTCCGTGGTACGTCCTGGATACTGGTTTGTGGCTTTCTGAAAGGAAAGGCTGTTTAGATATATTTCTGCACAGAATTGTCTGTATGCCTCTCATTTCAGACCATCCATCTCTTTATGCTGGGAAATCTATGAAATATTTACACTTTGAAATTGCCTGAAAGGTTTGATATTTTGAAAGACAGGTCATCCAAGCTTCTTCCATAAACTGTGTAAAATAGCTGGTACATTTATTGTTGATATCATTTAAAACCCAACTGCTTATTCACTCTTAGACTACTATACAAATTTGAAAGGGACTCCAGCCTAGCCTTTAGTTTGGGCTCTCTCAGCGTTTCAGCTGCACTTGAGGGAGCTTTCAAGAATAGCATTTGCACGTGGATTGATTCTGAACTGATGCCTGGCTAGACAGTCTGTGTAGAAAGTTGCATGGGTGAATTGAGCTCTGCACTTGTTGAGAATTCCTGCCACTACATTTCTTAAACTCCTCAGAAATCAGAAGCAATGCAAATATTTCCCCACCTGAACCGCCCTGGTAATCAAAATTGTAGAGGGTT